CATGGATTATCCAAGATGAACCATATTTGTCCAAGGAAGTCATTATTAAATTGATCTATATGACTTAAATCATACAATATGATATAAAATAAAGATTTAATCCAGATTTGATTCCATGATCAACAAATAAAATTAAGTAGTATTCATTACATAATTATATAGTACGAAAAAATTAATACAGTATGATTTGTTCAAAATTCAACTTTTTGAATTTACCTAATTTTGATAACTAAGATTTGACTATGAGGATTTACCAAAATACCTTATCATTTTTTAAAATTGTAAGTTATACAATAATGTTAGTTATGTTGATAATTCATTTAATTAAGTTAGTTAAACTCATGATTTAAATTTTGAAATAGGTTGCCATACAGTAAATCATGATCACATAGTATGATCTAGATCGCATAGTATGATCTGATAAAGAAAATCAAGTGTTCAGTCTTCTCACCCCCATTTGTGTGTTTATGTTTAGTCACCTTCGCTAACATACACCACTTAATTATTAATAGTGGGCTATTAGATTTTTTTTTTAATTTTTTTATATAATACTTTATTTTTTAATTTATTTTAAGGAAAATAGAAATAGTGCAACAAACAGGCACCAATAACAAACGCTACACCTATAAATAAATAAATAAATAACGTTGTAACAAATAAACACCAATAATGAACAGTATACCAATAAGTTCTCCTCCATTGACATCTCAAAGATAGAGAAGAGTAAAGTAAAAAGATTATAATATAAAAAAGTCCAAAAAAAGCTATCATTTTGCACATGGTACCTCAAGTTCCTAAGCACTGATATCGACGTCTCCTAATCTAGTTCAAAATGGCACTAAACCTTTCATAACATAGTGTTTAAAAATAAGTCAACTCACCCATCACTTATTTCAAATTCACTACATATAATGGAAAAAAATTCTTTACGCAGATCATTATCGATGGATCTAAAAAGTTTGTCATCATATATATCATATACACAATGAGTATATCATCCTCAATTCTTTTGATAAATAATATGGTATCTACCATGCCCTTAACAAAGGATTTCTCTAAGAGAAAAGTGTTGAACCTATCATAGGACACCCTAGGTACTTAATATTGCCCATACAATACTTTATAGAGTTTGTAAACATGGGTTAGAAAGGCTGAGATTTTGAAACTTAGGGCATGTTCCACATTAACATCTTCATTAATCACTCCATTAAGAAAAACACTCTTCTTGTCCATATGATATAATTTAAATCCCATGAAATAAGAAAATAATAAGAATACTGTAATGACCTCTAACTTAGCTACTAGGGAAAAGATCTCCTCAAAATTTATTCCTTCTATTTGATTATAATCCTTTGATGCCATGCTAGCATTATTCATAACAACTAATCAAGAGTCATTTAATTTATTTTTAAATACCCACTTCATTCCAATAACACTTTGATCAATAGTTCTAGCAACTAACTCCACAAATCATTTCTTACAAATAGATTCAAGTCTTCTTGCATTGCAACAAAACTAAACTAATTTTTTAATTCCATACAGACTAAGGTTTTTTGGCTAACTTTTTTGCTATGTCCATGCCTAGTCCTAACTCCTATGGATGTGTTAGTTATGATAAACTACTTAGGATGGCTAGATGTATATCTCCACTCTCTAGGCAAGGGTTCCTATGTCTCTTCTATATATTCTAAGCTATATTTTGAATTCCAATGGTGATGTTGCCATCTTCTTCTTCTTCTTCTTCTTCTTTAGGTGGAGTATCCATATAAGTCTTATCCAATTCTACATGGGTTAACTCTTCGTCATTTCTTTCATAACCTAAAAATTATATGTAATAGTTAGATTACAATATATTTCATTTAACTTACCACTCCTGAATAATCATGACTACAAAAATACAACAACAAAATTTACAACCCTAAACTAGTAACAAAAATAGAATCACTCCATTGACTTCTTGCACTTCTCTAAAATCATTTAAAAATCACATAATGAGCCAATAACCCATCAGGTTATCAAACCTACAACTATATTCAAAGCATATAAACAAAAATAATATACATGTATTTATTCAATTCATATTATCATCAATTTATGTCTATGCAACTAATGTAACTCAATAACCAGTGATTAGTAATTATATAAAGGATCATTATGAACAATAGCAATGTTTTATTTGTTATAAGTTCAAATCTATATCAATATTTTATGCCTTGGTCATGTATACCAATATGAATATTACTCCGCATGTATATATATATGATCTTGTCATATCTTATATTTCTTGTATCTTACATTATGTATCTTGTATCATATCATGTACCTGTATCAGTATCATCAGCCTTATGGTTAATCTCATTAGTCTTGGGGTCAACCTATATATATATATATATATATATATATATAGGAGAATGATATCTGCCACAAATCAAAATTTATATGGTGGAATTTTACTAGAATAGGATATATTGCCTTTTTATCATTTTTTTTAGAGAAATTTAACACAACTCAAAATCATCAAAAACAAAAATAGTGTTAAGATTTCCTACATTGATCAGAGCATCTTTCACAACTTAAAGGACAAATAGAAATGCCTCGAGATGAATTTTGTATCTCTACTCTCCTCCTATGTCCTTCTCTCGCTCGCCTTCTCTCCTTCTCCTTCTCCTTCCTAACGAAACATCAAATGAAGAAGGAGGGGGTGGGGGTGCCTTCGGTTTTAAAGTGGCTTAATGGAATTAGATATTAAAAAAAAATTGTTTATAGCACAGCGCTACAATGCGCTTCCAAATCTTTGTAAATTTGAGAGCTTAATACTATAATACCTCCGCACTCACACAGCTCGATCTCAAAATACAGAGGGTAGTGTTGCTACGCTTGTGGGCACAATGCCATAACAATCCACACAGAAATTTCTTGCATGCAAAATTTTTCTTATGGTTCATTTACAGATCATTAAAAGGTACTTAATCTTGAAAAAAAAATTAAGGTCTTTACAAGAAGTTCATTCTGTCTTTTTTTTTTTTGCTTGCCAAATAAACTAGAAATGATTCTTCTTTAAAGGTGTTAATCTTATTTTTTTGGAATTTTCGTTCTTAACAGTAAACTCAAACTCAGTCCATGAAAATAAATAAATAATGGAAGCAAGTATTTGAATATAAAGCAATAATATCTCTTTTATAGGCCTTATTAGTGCAAGGGATAAAATGACAAATGTCAAAATTCAACATTCAATTGATTGATTGAAATCTAATATTAAAATAAATATTTATTAAGGTTTAATAATTAATTAATGAACATATTATTTATATTCTTTTATTCTTTTATAGTAAACCATTAAAGATATAAGATAATCAGTGAACTAAAAATACATCCAAATATCTAGTAAACTCAGTTCAAGCTAAGCAAATTTGGCTCAAGATAAATTAAAGCTGTTTCAAGTTTTCTATCCACTTAGTTTGATATTCGCTTGATTAATAAAAAAAAAAGTCATCTCAAGCAAGCCACTCTGATTAATGAACTCATTCCAATCGACAAATAAAGCATAACAATCAACTCTAGCAACTATTACCTATTAAGTTCTCCGGACGACTATTCAATAAGGGACGACTTCTCAAAATAAACTATTGACAATTATTCAACTATATGTCTATCAATATAAACAAAGTTGATAACATTGTCAAAGCTCAATAGACACGCATCAAGTCTAGATCTTTTGACGAAGCAACACAATCATTGTATTTTTCTCTTATTTCTTACATAATCATATATGAAGCCAATTTATAATGCTTAAATTACAACACAAATCTATAAATAGATGGTTAATGAGTGTGATCAATTTACACAATTTTATTCAATCTTCTATAATTAATAAAGTTTGTTTTAATTTTTATTTTACAATTCGTCTATTTCTCTCTCTTTTTTTTTAATTTTCTTAACTTATTATTTATAATATTGTTGAGTGTGATTTATGTATAATTCAGGATTCAATAATACATTAATAAATAGATGGATGACAAAATAAAATGTGTCCCACTAAAAATGGGAGCACAAGCAAGGATCACAATTTAGACGCTATTTGTTTGCTATAAAGTAAATGCAGGATAAACTAAATACAATGTAAAGCAGATATTCTAAAGCTGTTTGATTGTCTGCATAGAAGCCCACACTTGGTCCAGGCCTTTGCAATTAGCACTCAATGAGTGATGGAATATATGTTGCAAATGAACTACGAGGGAAGTTAGGAATATACACTGAATTTAGTTTTGCTCTATTTACCGAACAGACCAGTAAGTAAAAAGTGAAAAAATAAAGTATTTATTATACTTTGCATTTACTTTATCTATACACTGAATTTTGACATGCATTTTCTCCCACCTAACACCCCTTAAATAACCAAACTCTAATTAGGCGTATCTCACCCCAGGAATCCCGCGTATGCCTATGGCAAAATGTCTAATATTAAAAAAGAATCCAAATCGGAAGGGTAAAGCTCCTGCTAAAATTGGAGATCGTTTTGCTTGCGGATGACTCTAGACGGGCTGCCCGGTGGCTTTTCATGAATTTTATGCGCAGTTCTCATTATTTCCATTTTTTTAATAATTTAAGGAAAATAAATTTATTAATATAAAAATTTAAAATACATTTGCGGTAGTGTCAACGGACGCCAAGATGATTCAAATACGGCAGAATCCGGGCTTCGCCTATCCTCTTTTCAATTCCCCTCTCTCTCTCCCCCTCGCCCGGCTCCGCTAAATCCTCATATAATAATTATCATCCTTATTATATTATTAGTATTATTCTTATTATTATTCTCACTTGTTTGTCATCGCGTTCAATTATTTCCATTCGCCTCTTTCTATGTGGCGTGGCAAGGAATGGAAAGTACAATTATAAAGCGTAAGAAAGGGCAACCTCGATATATTTTTTTTTCATTTCTTATTCTTGAACACCGCGGGCGAGCGCGATTTCTATGCTTCTAGGGCTTTTTCGGGGTACGCGATGAGCTCTTATGCCTTGCTTAGTTGTTTTTTAGTAATGCAAATGGCCGGGGTTTCAAATGGTTTTCTTCTTTCGATTTCGGCTAGAAGTTCCTTCCTTTTTGTAGAGTTTTCGATTGATTTGTGATTTGAGTCCAAGGGGGATTTTAAAGTTAGTTTTTTGGGGAGTTTCTTTCGATATTCTGTATTTTTTTTTTTTTTTTTCGGTTTTTTTTTTTTTTTTTTTTTTTTTTTTTATAATTTTCCCTCTGTAGTTTACTTCTGGGGATACCTTCATGCGAGCTTTAATTTTCGGGGTTGAACAATCCTGCACGGCTCTTGAAAAGTAAAGAAAGTCATTAGTGGTTTCTTGCGGGTATTTTTTGTTGGACTGACTTTGAAGTAGCATTCCTAGGCGACTTTAGTTTTTGTCTTTGTTTCGTTCTTTTGTTTGTGGTGCCTTGGTGCTTAGAGTTTTATGAAGTAGCATAATATTTTGCGATATCTTGCTTGGATTTATAGAGGTAATTCTACTGCAATTATTCTAATTATGCATCATTTATTTTCTTTACGAGACTTTATGGGATCAGGGACTTGTTTGCAAATAATTTCAAAATTCTATAGGTCGTTTAAAGCAATTGATTATTCCGTCAAGCTCTTTTTCTTTTGTCTATATTTTTTGTGGTATTTTTTCTCAGTTCTCATATGTACTTTCAGTGTGGCCGACATTTTTTAGATTGATATTTATTTTTCTTAATTTGTCCATGGATTGCTTTATAATTGCTAGTGATGATGCCAATTTTTCTCAATACTAGCTGGTTTTCATTTGCTTTTCGTTTTAAAATGAAGACATGACATCCTCCTTAGATGCCATGTTAAGTTACTTTGGCTTTGTTTCTCATGTTAAACTCAGAACAATAAAGTGGTCGAAGATTTTTATTTATATTTAGTTTGTCATTGTGCCTTCTTAGTTGCAGAATTAATGAGATGGAGAAATCTTCAGATATTTCAGACACTGCAGGTCTAATATCTCATATTACCCTCTACTAGTCTATCTTTTAGTTTGTCTTTAAGTGGTTTCCTATCTAAAGATGGATTTTATTCGTTACATAAAACAGGTCAGTCAAATGTTCCATCTCTGAAGATTGGTCAAAAGTTTGGAAGTAGCGCATGGCCTGTTCCATCTGGATCTAATATGTACAAAGGATCAAGTGATGCCAGTCTATTTTCAAGTTCGTTACCTGTACTTCCACATGAGAAATGTATGTAGGTATTTTTTTTTCCTGTATCTTGTAATTTACTTCTTGCTTGATGCCTAATTAACTTTTTGCTTGCTGTATGTTGATTTCAGTGATATTTCCGGAAGCCGATGTTGCCATTCAGTCTATGGAAGATGCGTCATCTGAGTTGAGCAAAGAAAATAAGAATGCAGTTCAGGGTTACTTGGATGACACCAATGTTCATGTCATTGGGAGCATGCTTCCTAATGATGAGGAAGCACTTCTAGCTGGTGTACTGGAAGATTTTGATCTCACTGAGTTGCCTGGCCAAATAGAAGAAATGGAAGACTTTGACATCTTTGGCAGTGGTGGGGGAATGGAATTAGATCTTGATCCTATGGAGAATCTGACATCAGGGATTTCAAGCATGCATTTAAATGAAGGATACCTTGTAAATGGTATTGCTCATTATGGCCTTTCAAATGGAGGAGGAGCTATTGTTGGGGAGCACCCGTATGGGGAGCATCCTTCAAGAACACTATTTGTGAGGAACATCAATAGTAATGTTGAAGACTCTGAGCTACGTTCATTATTTGAGGTAAATAATTCTTCCTTCTCACTACTTGTATGTATAACTCCTATACTAAATTGTATTTATTTCATTAAATTATTCGGTCAATCAATATCTCCTACGATGGCTCTGAATATCCTGATTGTTACTTTTTATGTTAGAATTTCATAGTAATTCTTCTGTAAGATCTCTAAAATTTCTAATTATTATTTTTTTATTTCAGAATTGCATAGTAATTCTTATTTGATTCAACTTCTTAGTTAGGATGTGAAATGAAATTACTTCATAGAACTCTGTTGTTACAGAGGTTCAATGGTTTACTTTGTATGTGAGCTATGTTATTGTTTCAAGTTTGCAATTTGTAGGATTATAAATTGCATTTCAGTCTAACAATTTAGAAATTTCGCAATCATATGCCTACTTTAGGAATATAATCCATGTCCAATTCCTGCCTCCTTTCCTTTACTTTGTCCATTGTTAGCAATAGATTATTGAACTACATCTCTTGTTACATTTGAAGCACATTGCATTATTTGTGTGCATGTGCTGCACTTCAAAACTTGTTACGAACATTAAGTTAGTCTATTCTAAATCTTTTGTCCTTCTAGAAACGTTAATAAAGAATCGTCATGCATTTCTACTTGTTTTGATTGTTGTGATTATTGATTTATCTTATATGCCTTTATGCAGTTATTAGGATATTATTTTCATTTTTACAATAAGGGATGTTGTACTTATGTCTGGGTTTACTTTGTTTGGAGAAACTATGTTAGTATTTTTCCCAAATAAACTTTGTAAATTCAAGAAAGAAGTTTGAGATACTTTTTGATTTTGGTGGATACAGTAATGAATCGGTCGAAGTAATATTTTTGGAGGACTTAATTGATTCTTTCAGTCTATTTTTTAGGATAATTGAATTTGTAAGTATAACGCAAGCCTTTTTTGATCGAAAGGATTTGATGAATAGAAAGATAAGGAAAAAAAGAGAGGAAAATTGACACACAGTTGGTTTATAAATAAAGCAAAAGGACAATGAACAGTAACCTCAAGTTCTATACTTGAATGAGGACATCACATTATGAGAGGATGTGAACCTTCACATTTAATTAAACACATCACATTCACGGGTGTAATAATGGTCATACATAAACTAACCAATTAATAGTTATTTTGACGTAAGCGCGACTTCATAAAGCAGTAATAAGAATGAAATAACAACCGCCCCCACCCCCACACACACAAAATAAATAAATAAATAAAATCATTGAATCAATAATGATTATTTGGCATTAATATTCCTTCTTATAGAGTAATGTCATTAATAACGAACTAACGCACTAACAAACTTAATAACAAATGGCCTGAAAAACTTAACAACAATCAATGACTAAATTAAGTTTGACAACATAAAAAAAACCATGAGGTTCTAATGACATAAATAGACTCATATAGTAGAATCAGTAGTAACCTCCTTACCCTTTATTGGTCATGTGTAAAACCTCCTTACCCTTAAGGTTGCTTGGAAGAAGTTCCAAAGGAGAAAGATAGAAAGTAGGTGAACACTCCTCCATGGTTCTAATATTGTATGTGATGAGTGGAAGAGTAGACGTGTGTGACATTTCAGATGAGATTTGTGAAAATTTTGATTTTGGTGACTTTTATATACAACATCAAGAAAATATTTACATTTTAGATTTACTATAATTACAATTATCCAAAAGTATAATTACTTTATATTTTATTGTTTGTTTCTTATTGAATTAAATTGCAATCTATCATGCTAGTCACGACTGCTGCTTTTTTTTAAAGGTTAGGGTTTTGGGGGAGCGTGCTTGTTTTGATTTTTTTAGCCAAATATATTATAAAAATATTTCAATTGAAAATTTTATTTTGTATGGGGTCTTTTTGGTTTAAGGAAATTGGGCAAATCCAAATGTCCTTCATAATTTCATTTTGTTTCTTAGGTTTCAATGTAATTGACAATTTATTATATTTACCTAGAAAATGTTAACAAATGTAATTCCTTACTCAAACCTAGTGAAAAGCTGTTTGAAAAAAAATAATTAATCATCATTGATTCGTTGTGACTAACATGTACCCTTTTCAAAAGAAATCAGATCTGATTTCTCATCAAGTAAACAAAAAAATAAAAAAAATTTCAATCCAGTTTCTCCTCATTTAAACAACTTGGTGAAAACTAATTTCAGTTTTACCTTTATCATTTTTATTTCCATTTCATTAGTCCCTTCAAATCAATAGAGTCTTAGCGTCTATATTTTCATAAGAAGTTTTGAATCATATGGATTAGTATTTATAGATTTTGACCATGCCCTTCATACTTTGAAGCTTAATTTTGATTTGGTAGGAATCAAGGGCTTGTGGGCTTTAAAGGACCCTTGCACTTGTTGAATTTTCTACTGCTTTTTTGGTGTTTCAGGAAGTGCATCACAGAATTTAAGATTTGATTGTTTTGAAGTGTTGAAGAGATTCCAACTAGCTTGTCAACTGAGGTTTATTTATGATGTTGGGGATTAAGGCATCTCGTGAGCATAAATCCTTATAGTTAATTATATCTTTGCCGGTATGCAAAACCATTCTTGTTTAAGGACATTAACTCTGGCAAAAATTATTTGCATTAGATTAATCAATGGCTGGTGAACTTGATCAATATCTTACAGTTTTCTCATTTTTAGTTGACTAGGTTGATCTTATTTGCTAAAAGGGGGGTTTGCTATTTTAACTTCTAAGGGGCTTGTTGAGTAGACGAGTGGGAATTTGTCAAAGGACATTTCCATTTATAATTAAGTATGATTTCATTTTGGATTGAAAAGGTTTAGAAGCTTGATGCATGGTCGATTGTGGTTAGAAGTATTAAACAAGAAGATGATGGTTCAAAGGTATGGCATGATTGATCTTATTTAAATGGCTTCGGGGAATGAAACAATGTTTATTATAGTTCAAAGGCATTGGATATGACTGGAGATAGCTTATAAGGGAAAAGGGAATTTCTTAAAGGTGCAAGACTTATAACCTTGAGAATGAGACAATCCTAAAATATATTTGGTCTTACAACTTAATGGTAGAGGAACCCATACATGAGACTCAACTCCAAAATGGGAGGTCCACACATTTGTTTTGGTCTATAGATTTACCGGTTTCTTATTGGTTGTATGGTGTGTCAGAACTTATAATGCTAAAGAAGGGTGGCCCAAAAGATTTGGTTGACAAATAATTGCAATAAATAGCCTTAAAGGCCTTGTGCAAATGCATTGATAAATATCTTTGCAAAGCACAAGCTTAGGATACTGGTCCCTAGAATCCATATAGGTTACTCCACTTAATTCAAGCTCTAGATCCTTCAACAACTCCTTAGGGATTTTGTTTATATGCCCCCTTATTTGGTGAGGGTCTATCTTCTTTTGTTGCTTTTTTGAGTATCAACTAGGTTACACTAAAGAGTATTTTTTGAATATTTTGTAGAATATAAGCATTTTTTGTAATTTTGAGTCTAATTTAGTTGCGAGGGGGAATTAGACTATGATAAGCCAAGTTTTTTATTTGGTTCTTTTTTTTTTTAACTTGAGAAGTATATCACAATTGATAGGGTTTAGGGATTGATTTATTGCATTCTAAAATGTTTGTACATATTGAGATGAATTTTTTTAAAGAGTTGTGTACAAAGTTGGTGATCAAGTAATTATAGGAACCATTTTATCTTTTTTTTTTAAATATACTATGAGGGATAGTTTATTGCAATGTTTAAAATTGTGTAATCGGGTAATGAGGCATTTTTCGTTTGTGAGGCGAGGCGTAAGCCTCAAGGCGTTTTGAGGCGTAAGCCTCAAAATCAAAGATTGCGTAAACATAAAATGATAAATTTTTTATATACTAATGAGTAAATAATATAAAACATAAAAAAACACAAGATACGAAGTGAAATCAAAATATCCCAATAATAAGACTGAAAATTTTCATTTGAATCAACATTATGATTAACTGCTCTATCCCTTTCCTCCTCTCCTATAGAGTCTAATGTCTCCCAATTGAATCATGCACTCATGAAGAAAACTTATACAAAGCATGCACTCATGAAGAAGCAGACTAAGACTAACAACTATTACTAAATATGATGAATACAACAATATAACGGGCAGCCGGGGGTCCAAGAGGGCGCTGCCCCCTGCCCGGAAATTTTTTTTTTGTAAGGGTAATTTTGAAGTTCTGCTTATTTTTAAAGTTCGTAAGTCATTTGTATGGAAAGGTATTGAGCGGTATCGATCATGTACCGAGCGGTACCGAGCATGTACCGGGCAGGTACCGAACATGTACTAAGCGGTACCGAGCATTTATTTTTTAATTTTAAGAGGTGGACTCCTCTAAAACATGAGGCGAGGCACGCCTCCGTGAACTTGAGGCATACGCCTCAATGGCAGCTCTCATTGCGTAGGCTTTGAGGCTTAAAAGGTTAAAATTGCACGGAGGTGCGTCTCTTATTGCGCAATTTTAAACCATGGTTTATTGTCTAGTTGTTGCATGGATTGGCTACAAACCATATCTGAGGTTATGCATATTCTTTTGAGTTTCACAGAGAATCTTCAGTGCTCCTTGACTTTCATTTGTAGAATAGTGACCCACACAAGTAATTGGATACGAGTATTTGATAAAATTGAAACGTGTCTTTTAGTTGGTGGTGAAGTGAGTCTCTCGTCCATAGATTTATACCAAATATCATAATATTAATCGTAGATGATCCTTTTATTTTCTATTTAAGCTTAGATAACCCTAGTGAGAGGCTTTTTCTATTCTATTTAGATTTCTTGCGAGGCAAAATGAGCACGAGTTCCTCTAATTGTATTGGAAGCGAGGGGAGGAAAGATCATTTAGGGAAGCCCAAGGAAGCTAGGGTTGTGGACCTCAGCTCTTGCTTACTATTAAGGTTGATGTTCTTATTAGTAACACTATTCCATGCATTGAGCATCTGCATTAGCTTGCTATTTCTTGAAGGTGGGTTTGGATCCAAGTAGTGCTAAGCAATCTGAATAGATCAAGTCATGTTTTTTTATTATTTTTTCTTACAAACCTGTTTAATAAACGATGTAATGCCTTAGTGTTAATGGATTATTCAGCTAAGTGACCTTATTCATTAAGTGCTTCTTACTATATATATTCATGGATTTATTTTATGGAAATTTAAATTCTCTAATGTTTGATTGTTGTTTTTCCCAGAATACTCTTAGTCATTTTGTGATATTGCAAACTTTATTGATTGGATGCATGTTAAGACAAATAGTTTTTTGATTAATTTAAAACAATTTGTGAAGTAGTTTTGCTTTCATATTCACCTGAATTTTATTTGAAGTGTTTGAAGTGGTTATGGTCAAGTCATACTGCTTAGGGAGAAGTTGTTATACCCTCCTCTCATTCCTTGAGATCATTAAGAAGTTTTTTGTATGCTTAGGGTGTGAAAAAAATTGATATCAGACATTAGTTAGGGTAGTCTTAAGATCACTCAACAGTATGGCACTAATGGGGATGCTATAAGTTAATATGGTCATTTTCCTCATACTAATGATGAGGCAAGTAGGACAAGAGATGGAATAGAATTTAATTGACTTTCCTCTTTAAAGTGATGTTTTCATTCCTAGATTGATTAGATTCCTCGATGTTCTAAGCAGACTCAGAGTTCAAGAGAGTATTAAGAGCTAACACTTGGTTTGGAAACTTCTCAGTGACAACTATGAAAAACATTAAAATTAATGGTCGAGCTTATGGCGTAGAAGTTCACTTATTCATGTAGGAAGCGATGGAAACATGGAATTTGGCTAGATTGGCCAAACTCGGGATCATTTTTTCGAGTATTTCATGAAATTGCATCCAAAGCAGTTTATTGGAACAATTGAACCACTGGAAATAAAAGATGGCTCAACTCAAATTAAGAAGGCGTTCATGAGAATAGAGTGTGTTATTGAGAAGAAGATGACTTCCTTTGCATTAATAAAAGATGTTGATTGTTAGTGGAAGTGCATAAGCATAGTTGCTTTGAAGGGCAAACAAATAGCTAAGTCACTCATGCATACTTTTGATGAAGCCTTTCAATCTAAGTACTCATCAAATTTCATATGATATGAAATGTAACGGGACTTATTTAGAGGAGATGAAAAAGAGAAGAATTTATGGCATTAGTAATTTGTTCATGAAATAAAGTAAAATCATATACATTGAATATTGGACTAATGCCTTAACTTCATAAAAATTTTAATTTATAAGCATTTTCTTCTTTAGTACCTGGTATGTTATATAAATCATAAATAATGTATAGTTTTTGCTTTGCTTGCAATCCTCTTTTTAAGTCTTCTAGTTTATTTGCAATCATTATAATTTTCAATAATATTTACTTGTCATTCTTTATTGAACAATTTCGCATTAATAATCTTGTATATCTCTCATTTCCACCTTTCTCTTTATTAAAGTATGATATATATTTAAGTTCTCCAAATATTTGGATCATACTATTCTTAATATATTTATTTATTTTATCCCTCATGAAGTTTGGTCCAATTAAATGATTTCATTTTAACCTTTTTAAGAATATATTTTAGAAGATTAGTATCTCCCTTTTTAAATTCTACCATTTATCCTGAGAAATTATTTCTTGTGAATATTTTAGCTGAAGATATGCATCTTTCACAATAATTTAACGTCGAATGATAAAAATTTCTCTTGGAATTACCTAACAAGATTTTCAAAATAGTATTTCTGTTTTCTTAACTACAAATTTACTAGTGATCAAATGAAATCATAGCTACTATAAAATCAATTATAACTTCTTCCTCTTAGTATTTCCTAACCTTATTTGATAGCCTCTTCCTCCCAATAGCTCATCAATTAGAACCTATATATCCATTTTAAGTACTCAATAACTTCATCATCTTCCTTGGGCAAATGTTTTAATAGTTCATCCATCTGTTGGCAAATTTTTTTTTTTTCAAATTATCTTCTAATCTCGTTAGTGGAGTATAAGCACTAACCATTTTTATAATATCCTCATTGATAATCAACTTAAAGGCTACATTGTTGCAAGTATACATGGTGTAAAATAAAAGGAATGCATATATTGTTTTAAAATAGAGCAAAGTATTTTTTATGGAATTTGGAATCCTCAACAGCCTAATTTTTAGTGCATGCCAAACTCTTCGAAAGTGATTGAATTTCAAAGGCATTGCTACGCTCGGACATGTTCACTCGTGATCCTAACCGCCCTATTACTTGGACTCTCCAATTCTATCCACCATCTCCACCAATTTCTTCTCCTTCAATTGAGTCGCCCTTTTGTACCAATAAGATTGTTGGTTCACCTTTAGTATGTCAACATCACTGAATAGCTGGCCAAACCTTCCCTTCATTAATTCCCCCTATGACCCACTTCCAATGTCCTCATGATGATCATTCTCCAACCATGCTTTCATACTGCTACCTCTCTAAGCACTGTTCCAGATCAAGCGTGATGTTACATGGTTGAATTTGCTGCCTTCACCATTGACATTGAGTGGCAACTTGATTTGTCAGTGTAAGATCTTATTGTTTGTTATCATTGGCGAATGCAACCATTAGATTATGCAAGTGGCAATTATGCAACTACCATACCATGCGATGTGACACTTTGTGATATGCAATCACTGAATGTTGTTTTCATTAACAAGGGGGTTGGGAAAATGATCATCACAAGTGGCATCATTGCTCATATGACTTGGATTTCTTCCTACAACATAGATACGAACCATACCAAGAAGATTGTATTTAAAATGCATCCTAACAGAAAAAAAAAATTCATTGTATTTAATTTTTATCCAACCAAGTAACTTCTGAAAATAAAAATAAATCATTTTATTACTCGTTTCTAAAATGCATGTTACATGAGTGAATCCAACCACAACCCTTTAATAGAAATCAGCTGATCGCTAATTCTACTCACATTAATAATTTTCTCTTTTTGCTTACTTTATGCTACTATTCCTACCTTGTTTTCTATTCTATATATTTTCAATGCATAATAGCTTAGGGCCTTCCTAATGTCCATTGAATTTCCCTTCTCTTTTTTGTTTCTAGCAAACTAACAATATTTATTCTTCTTCCAAACATCATTGCATATTTTCTTGTTTTATATTCACAACATTTGTCAATCCATTAGTCTTTATTTTAGTTTTGGCCAGCCCTTGCTCATTTTTCATTTCAATTCAGTTAAGCTATGGTGTGCCACTTGCCAATACTGTATTCGTTAAACCTTTCCTATTTTTTTATTACGATAGGGTTAGGTTGTGGTATGCCACTTATGATTGATTTCTGACAAGCCTTTACTATTTATTATGGCAATCAATTTAAGCTTTAGTTTGACCTCTGAAAAGTGGCTACCGCTAGCTTTACAGCTAGTCATAAAATCATATATTTTGTTACTCTGCTGTAATAACTTTTTTAAGCTTTTTAAATTTTGCTTTATAGTTCTGCAAATTGAACGCCTTTTAGATGGTAAGCACTTATTTTTTCAATGATCGTTTTATTTCTTCTTGTTGCTTGTCATTTCTTGCTTTCTTAATTGGAAGTTTCTAGGTATCCTCTTTTCTGTGATGGCTTTGTATCTCATTCATGTTACTGAATTGCCTGATTCTGTAGCAATATGGTGATATCAGAACCATGTACACTACTTGCAAGAATAGGGGATTTGTTATGATATCTTACTATGACATTCGAGCTGCTCGGACTGCTATGCGTGCATTACAAAATAAACCTTTGCGGAGGAGAAAGCTGGATATCCATTTTTCCATACCTAAGGTTGAAGAAAAATTCTCTCTTCTACAAATCTGTTATGTTTTAAATTGCAAGCCCTTATCTTACATGTTTTTTTACATTTTTCTCTTCCATTATTTTTTACAGGAGAATCCATCAGACAAAGATTTGAACCAAGGAACTCTTGTGATATTTAATTTGGAACCATCAGTTTCAAATGATGACCTTCTTCAGCTATTTGGAAATTTTGGAGAAGTAAAGGAGGTGGGATATTTTTTTTTTATATTCCATTTTTTTTTATCTTGTTTCTTTCATTTAAGTTGACTTCTGCATCCATGCCTGGTTTTTCTCCCTGGTACAGATAAGGGAAACGCCACACAAAAGACATCATAAATTTATTGAATTTTATGATGTTCGAGCTGCTGAAGCAGCCCTTCGAGCATTGAACAAGAGTGACATAGCTGGGAAGCGCATAAAGCTTGAACCTAGTCGTCCTGGTGGTGCTCGGAGAAGGTAAGTTTATTCATCTGTGTTATTGTTGTCTCTTTCTACATTTTTTTCTTGCTTTTTTTTAATTTCATGTTATTTGCTTGACATTTTCTTCTATCAGTTTTATCCTTGGGTTGCTCACTTAATATAGAACGGGTTCTTTATCTTAATTTGAAAGAATACCTCTAAAGTACACGGAAGTTTGATTTTGTTGATGTATCCGTTTGGGACATGGTAATTGCAAACAATCCCATTCAGATGTAAGATTTTAGTATGCTCTTTTCCTCATAAAAAGTTTTTACAGGAGACGAAGCTCTAGTCTTGTGCAATCAGACAGTGGTCTCTAGTTGTTCTTAGGTCTAGGTTACTGGGTGTCCTTAGCTCTCCATCTAAATAGTATAGTTTTCACCATTGAGCGTCAAACCAAGATTTTTTTTTGTTTGTGCAAATAGTGTTTTTTGCTGCAATATACTTCAGTATATGTCATACTTCTGTAGGATACATAAAACTATATCACAATTTTACTCCGACATGATTTTTACTGGTATTAGTATATTTTAGCTTCTTATATGTGTATTTTAGCTGTTTTTCATGGTTTGTTTATGGAGATTTAAAACAGTTCTTCTGAAACTAGGCTTTTACAACCTTTTTTGTGCAAATAGTGTTGTTTGCTGCAATACACTCAATATATGCCATCCTTCTGTAGGATTTATAATACTATGTCACCGTTTTACTCGAACATGATTTTTACTGGTGTTAGTGTATTTTAGCTTCTTATATGTCTACTTTTTAGTTTTTACATGGTTTATTTATGAAGAATTAAAACAGTTCTTCTTCTAAAACTAGCTTAATTCATCAAATTAACCAAGACATGGAAAAGGATGAAACCAGAATTTATGGACAACACGGGGGTTCACCTATAGCCAGTTCTCCTCCAGGTTCAAATATCATAACTCTTGTTTCTAATTATATTTAGTTCTTGAAGTAACTAGATTTTTTTTTTTATGTTTGAGTTTACACCAATGATAGGTATATGGGCACAAAGTCCAATTGAAAATGAATCTTTTCCATCTCTTAGTCAGTCTAGTGGTACGAGTGGTCCCATAGGTGGAAACTATTTGCCTGGATTAGCATCTTTAGTGCCTACATCGTCAAACTCTATGAGGATTGCTCCTATTGGGAAAGAACAAAACAGGATTAACCATGCTGATCATGTACATAGCAACCAACTATCACAAGGATCACAAGGATTAGCATATCAGCATTCTCATTCCTTTCCAGAGAGAAGTGAAATGATGCTCAATATGGTCTCAAATACGGAAAGTGGATCTTCTCTTATTCCTAGATTGAATGCATCTGGTGTTAGCACAATTACTGGATCCCAGTCTCTATGGGGTAGCCCTCCCTTTAGTGATCTTTCTCATCCTTCTTGGCAATCTATGAGACATCAAATTACATCTAATGGCCAAGGCCAAGGGCAGAGAAGTCTATATCCGGGTCATCATGTCCCTTTCATTGGTTCACCATCTTCTCATAATCATCTCTACCATCATGTAGGATCTGCTCCATCTGGTATAACATTTGAAAGGCCTTTTGGCTATTTTCCTGAGAATCCAGGGACTTCTTTCGTTAGTACACCCCCATTTGGAAGTGTAGGCATGGCTAGAAATGATGGAAGTTTAACAGCGAGCATTGGTGCTAAGACACCTCTGAACCATGGAGTTGGTCTATCTGGGAACATTTTAGAGGGTAGTCAATCTAATTTTAGGCTATTAGCCTCGCAGAGGTTGGGGAACTCACTCTTTGGAAGTGGTCCTTTTTTTGGAGCCGATGGTGTGAATGAGCGAGCTCGCAATCGACGAGCTGAAAACTATGGCACTCAACTGGACAGCAAGAAGCAGTATCAGCTTGACTTGGAAAAGATAACCAGCGGAGAAGACACCAGGACAACTTTGATGATTAAAAACATTCCAAATAAGTATGTTCATGAGATACCATAGTGTGCTAATGCTTGTAGAATTTGATGATTTCATGCTAATGCTCAACTTTCTTTTAATTTAAGGTACACCTCAAAAATGCTGTTAGCCACCATCGATGAGAACCACAAGGGTACTTATGACTTTCTGTATCTTCCTATTGATTTTAAGGTGATTACTATGAGTTCATGAATTTCACTTTCTATATTTGAAAATATTTTTCACTTGGGCTTTTCAGTGATTTGCTTTTAATTGTTTCTAGAACAAATGCAATGTGGGATATGCGTTCATCAACATGTTGTCTCCTGCCCACATCCTCCATTTTTATAAGGTATTTTTTTAGCGTTCTTTTAAATATTTACTATTTATATTTCGGGAACTTTTCTGTGTTATTCACTTTCAAGCGGTTTCCATGCGGTGACAATTAGTGTCTGAGTAAATTATTTGAGAAGCGTGAATCAGATCTGACTTTCTATGCCTTAAGTTCCTTATTTGATCCTCGTCTATTAAAATTACCTTGCTAAATGATTGATCACTATCAAACTTAATACCTTCACTTTGATTGTGCAGACATTTAATGGAAAGAAATGGGAGAAGTTCAACAGTGAGAAAGTTGCCTCACTCGCGTATGCTCGTATTCAAGGCAAGGTAGCACTTGTTAGCCACTTTCAAAATTCAAGCTTAATGAACGAGGACAAGCGATGCCGTCCCATTCTCTTTCATTCGGAAGGATCGGATGCTGGCAATGAGGTACATCAGGTATTTAAGTTCTATGAGCCTCATGTATTATTTTGCTTAGTGAAGAAAAATGATATAATGATACAGGATGCTGCATTGAAATGGTGATCAGTTAAATTTCTTAATTACTAGTTTGTTCATAAGATATGATAATTTTTTTTTAATTTCCGGAATCATTTTCTTGAGTTTAACCATGCATTTAATTAAATTTGTTACATTTATTTATTTTTTGCTCTTAGAGACAAAATGCAAAATGAGCATATACATGAAAAGATTGGAGTAATTCCAATGGCAGATAAGATTAGAGAGAGTCGCCTCAAGTTTTTCAATGATCAAGTTAGGATAGTAGATGTATTAGATTTGATCTATGTTAAGAAAGGTAGAGGTAGAGCTAAAATGACTTGATTAGATAATATTAGAAATGACTTTTTTCTTTAGATTTAAATGAGAATTTGACTCTTAACATAACACAATGGGAAAAAAAAATCATGTATTCGACCTCATTTAGTGACCTAAAGGCTTGATGTTGTTGTTGTTGTAGTATTTATTTTTTGCTCTTTTTTGGTTCTCTTTTAAGCCTGGGAGGTATTTTCCAGGAACCTGTGACGTCAGTTGGTTTGAATATATTTGTGCGTCAGCAAGATGGAACCATTTTAGGAGATGCGCCAGAAAGTCCAAATAGCAACATAAGTGACAAGCGAGAGAAGAGCAGTATGAAAGGAGGCAGTATACAATAGCGTTGTTGTGGCAATTCATGCGTGGCTAGGACGTATCCAATTGTACAAAAGAGTCTCGACATGGAATTCTGTGGCGCAGTTTCATGGTTAGTTTCATCCACTTTTGAACATGATCTTGATGAGAGGATAACTCAGATTCCAAGATGTTTTTGTATAGTTTGAAGATTTTATCTAATTATGATGTATAGAAATAAGGCAGAATTGCCTTCATAGAGGAGACTTGGGTGACCATGAATTTGCAAGACCTTCGACTGTCCTTTTTATTTTTTCTTTTGCCCTGTTTCCTTTTTTTTTTTTTTTGTGGGTGCATGTTTATATGATCATTGTATTGGGCGTTAAGATCATTTGATTTTTCTTTTGTAATTTTATTAACTATTTAAAAACAAGAGAAGATTGTGTCAAGGAATACTGACTAATCTACATTGTTCGATTTCTTTTTTGTTGAAGAACCAAGCTGCTTTGATCTTCATTTAGTATGATACCATCTTATACTGTAATAATTGTTTCACACCATGTTCTGAGGTATTTTGGCGCGTATGTGGGTCTGAAGCACATTTACCAGACCGAAAATGTCGAGAAAAAAAAAAAATAATGCAAATTATAGCACTTCATCATCACATTTTTCAGACCAGGCATGTGGCTTGCGTTGTCCTTTATATGAAATGTTTGGTTTTCCTTGGTCAGGAGCTTTTCTGCTATTCTTCACATGAGCAAGTTGTTCTGATCTGCTGCTGTCACCAACACATCTATCTGATTAAAATTTAGTAAGACAAATAATGTAGTTTTATCTGTAGAAATTTAAATGTAAAATGAATGTGATCATGAAGAATAGGTGATAGGAGTAGCACTCGATGAAGTTGAGATTTTATGAAGTAGACTTGTTTTAAAATATATTGCTAATTTAGTATGATGTCATAAACGTACATCTTATCGTCTGCTCTTTCTTATGTTATCTCATAATATTTTGTACTTATATTTTTTTGGTGTGAGTTGATTTAATTGTTTACGTTCTGCATATTTTGTGCAGGTTTGAGTTTGAAGTAATTCAAAACAAATTTGATGTACTTTTGCACGCCTAATTTACCTTCAACCCCTTGCCTTCAAAATTTCAATTTTATGTGAAATTTACACTTCAACTTTGAACGGCTTTTATTATAGCAATATTTCTTTTAGACGTGCCAACACACAAATGAAACGACGCGCGTTAAAGGATGCTACTTCAGATTATCTTATGATCGCTATTTGGATAGTAGAGTTGAGAAGGATCACTCTACTTTTGATATCTTGAAGCGATGGGCGAATTGCTTTGTTAAAATTGTTACTCTCTCTTGAATTGTTAGAGATATATTGGTCGTTTCTATTTTCATTATGCAATTCGAAGCTGCTTTCAGCGAGTTTAGCATGGCGCTCAACTATTTTCCAAAGTTCTTTATCTTGTTCTTGGAATTTTCTCCCATCTCCATTTTTATTGAATAAAAGAAAAGGTAAATAATGAAGTTCAGAAATTAGGGGTAGCTGATTGTATCTATTGTGAATTTAATAGTTTATGTAACAAGCAGCATTAGTTTGGTCTCTAAATACTAACATTAATGGATCTTAAGTAATAATAATAAGTATTATTTGAGAATTTGTGGAGGGTGATGATGACACTCAACTGATAGTGGTTGGATGATAGAAGTCGGGTAATGGTGGTCTGGAAATGATTGCTAGACATTCGGGGTTGACAATTGGTAGATAATGATAGTTTCGTGATGGAAGTAGCTATGACATTGACATTAGATAGGATTAAAATTTTTAGATATTTTAGTTCTCTAAATTAACCTATCCAATCTCGCCATCTACCTGTTATAGGTTTCTTGAGTGGTGTTTTGATAATTCTAATAAAATTTTTAGAACATTTGGTGGTTATTTTATTGATTATAGATCATTCTTTTCATATTTAAGTTCTTATTGATTTAAAATTGGGATTTTAGAATTGTTGATTTATTCTATTGAGATATTCATTTTGACTATAAGTGCATAAGATTTAAAGGTTATTTGGTCCTTTAATTTATGTCACAGCATTTTTATTTTTTATTTTTAAAGAGAATGCATAAAGGAATTTATTAAAAAACAACTAATTACAAAGAAATTCCTCCTTTAACAAGGACACAAAGGAGGAATTTTATTAGAACTAATATCATCTAAAAAATAAAAAATAAAAAATGAAAGAAGAGCTTAGTTAGCACATAAATCAGTTAATTTATTATTTTTTTTATTTGAAAAAAGAAATAACACTTACTGGAAATTACTAAGAAAAGCTAAATCCTTAGAATTTAGAATTTCCTCTTTAACATTCACCTTATTCAGTAAATTCTGAAAGAATTTGATAACATTGTAGTTATCACATTCTATGACAAAACCTTTAGCATCAAACATACAATGTTGAAAAAATATTTTCAAAGAAAGAATTGATAAAAGCTCAACTTGTGAGCAATCCCAATGAAGACAACTGAATCCAAAAGCACATAAGAATATTCCTTTACAATCTCTAAAAATGCCACCTATACCATCTTTGTTTGTACATATCAATGAAGCACCCACATTAACCTTTGATCCTTCTAGGAGGCGGAGGATGCCAAGATAGTTGATATAGGCTACAGCTGACTCAGCTGATTAGCATCCCAGTTCTCCCAAATAAGATTTGAATGAAAAGAAGCAACAACATTACTAATATAATTTTCTACAATGTAAGCAGAACTCTCATCAAATCTACCATGCACAATCTTATTCCTACTTTTCCAACAAAAAAATACCACTGAACAATACATATTCCCAAAAAAAGGATTAGACTTTGCACTTTGCTGCAAGTAATGTGTACAATCTGTAAGTGAAGTAAAATCAGGAATAAAAAGTCCCCATTTAGCAAGACAAGGAAACGCTTGATGAAGCTCATCACATTTAATTGCTACATGTTATGAATCTTCAGCAGCTGCATAGCCTCTTGGGCATCCATCGAATTCAGCTAACCTCCCGTTGCAAAGGATAAAATTTGAGGGGATATCATTCATATTTAAACGCCACCAAAACAACTAAATGCGAGGCTTTAATTGCAATTTCTTCATCCTACTCCAATAGTTATCTTTACTGATGTCTTCATATAGTCCCTCCAAAGTTAAAGCTGAAATGGATTTGCCCGAACACTTGAATAACAGCTCCAACTGATCTTTTTTTACATATGAATGAAAAGGTACATATAGAATCATCTCCACCAAATGATTCCCAAAAAATGTCTTCAGTTTACATACATTCCACTCTCTATTATTGATAAAGCCCAAAAGATATTATATTTCTTGAGATAAATTTGCTATAAAAGTAGGCAATTTCTCTATACATTTATCCAAAATCAATGTATCTTTAATCGTATTAACATCTACACTAGTAGATACCTTCCATCTAACAATAGGATGAAGAAACTTTTATCCATTCAAAATAATCTTCCACGTGGATGAAGAATAACTCTTACTTTAAGCTTTCAACACATCACAACCATGCATAGAAACCAAGGTTCTCTTGAGAAGGGAATTTGGATTTGAAATAAAGTTCCAAGCAAATTTGGCCCTTTTCCCTCAAAGGGCCTATTTTCTCCACAACCGATTGCAAACCACAACCACCTTTCCTCTTTGGCTTACACAAAATTTCCCAAGCAATATAATGAAGGCCATAATTACAATCATTCTTATGCCTTAAAAATCTCCTACACATTTTATCAAAGTCATTGAAATCTCTCAAAGGAACTAATGAATGTGTTGATAAAAAGATACGAAGAGAAAGAAAAATTGAGTTAATAATAACTTTCCGGCAAGCAAAATGAACCTGTTTCCCCAAGTATTTAATATATTAGAAACTTTTTCTATTATATTTTGAAAATCTGAATAAACCTGTCTTCTCAACACAATCTTAACTCCTAAATAGTCCATTTCACTCACCACCTTGGAACCCATCTTCTTTGAAAGAGTTCTCCCTTTTCTTCTTTTAACTGACTTCCCAAACATAATAGAAGATTTAAGCATATTAATCTTTTGTCCAGTATACTTGCAGTAATCATTGAGAATTTTTTCCACTTTCTTCGTGCTCTTATAATTTGCTTAAGAACAAAAGAACAATATCATCAGCATACATTAAATGAGAGATCTTAGGGGCATTTGGAGCCACCTTAATACTAATAATCCTTTCTCTTTGGCAAACACATCTATTAACAATTGTGAGCACATAATAAAAAGGTCGGGGGTTAAAGGACACCATTGCCTAAATCCACTTCTTGCCTCAATCCATTTTGAATTAATACCATTGACCATAATAGAGAATTTTTTATTCACAAAACACTCCATAATAAGATTTGAGAACTTCCTTAGAAATCTAAAACTATCAAACACTAGATTACTAGTAGATCATCCCATGCTATCATATGCTTGCTCCATATCAATTTTGATTGCCATTAACCCCTTCTTCGATTTTGAATATCTAAATTTATTGAATAATTCTTGTGCAAGTAAAATCTGATCAGACATAGATCGACCTTTCACAAATGCATATTGAACTTTTGAAATGATCTTTGTACAAATAATTCATATTATTTAATAACATCCTTGCCACAATCTTATAAATTGATTTATAGAGGCTTATAGGATGATAATTAGAAGGTGTCAAAGGATCTTTCACCTACAAAATCAATACTACATTAGTTTCCTTCCACTCAGGACATAAATTACCATAAGTGAAAAAAGAACTAATAACCATCCAAACATCATTTTTAATAAAAGGCCAATAAATTTTAATGAAGGAATAAGTTATCCCATCGTTACCTGGTGACTTATTAGCCTCCAACCATTTAACAACAATCTCCAGTTCATCTTTTAAGAAATCTTTCTCTAGCAACATTCTATAACCATAATCTAGCTTGGTCAAAGGAGAAGGCCAACCTGTTAAAATACATTTTGGTTCCCTCCATTTGTCTTTAAGGAAATCATAGGAAATTTCTTCCATCCTTCTTTTTCTTCAATCAATGACCCATTACTATCTTTCACTTGATTAATCTAATTTCCATTTCTCCCACCCGTTGCATATGCATGAAAGAACTTATAATTAGAGTCACCTTTCTCCATCCATTGAATTTTTGCTCTCTGTCTCAACCACGTGCCAAGACGGCCAAGTGTAGAATTGAGTTCATTAACCTTTGATCTTAACAAAAAACAACCTCTGATCTAAAAGTCCACCAAAACTGGCTTCTTTTTCTTGTAGTTCCAGAATATCTGCTTTAAGGTTTTCCTTCAAATCATATTAGTTTTTGTGTTTAGCTTTACCTCAAAAGAATAAAGCCTTTAATGTTATTTTAAACTCATTATTCATAATATCCACAACATCTCCCTCAATAGCTTTTTTCCAAGAGTGAAAAATAATTGAATAAGAA